GCATATAAATACTTAGCAACCAGAGAGCATATGACTACTTAGCAACCAGAGAGCATATGACTACTTAGCAACCAGAGAGTATATGAACACTTAGCAACCAGAGAGCATATAAACACTTAGCAACCAGAGAGCATATGAACACTTAGCAACCAGAGAGCATATGACTACTTAGCAACCAGAGAGTATATGAACACTTAGCAACCAGAGAGCATATGAATACTTAGCAACCAGAGAGCATATGCATATTTAGCAACCAGAGAGCATATAAATACTTAGCAACCAGAGAGCATATGAATACTTAGCAACCAGAGAGCATATGAATATTTAGCAACCAGAGAGCATATGCATATTTAGCAACCAGAGAGCATATGACTACTTAGCAACTAGACAACATATGAGTACTTAGAAACCAGAGAGCATATGACTACTTAGCAACCAGAGAGTATATGAACACTTAGCAACCAGAGAGCATATGAATACTTAGCAACCAGAGAGCATATGCATATTTAGCAACCAGAGAGCATATGAATACTTAGCAACCAGACAACATATGAATACTTAGAAACCAGAGAGCATATGACTACTTAGCAACCAGAGAGCATATGACTACTTAGCAACCAGAGAGTATATGAACACTTAGCAACCAGAGAGCATATGAATACTTAGCAACCAGAGAGCATATGCATATTTAGCAACCAGAGAGCATATAAATACTTAGCAACCAGAGAGCATATGAATATTTAGCAACCAGAGAGCATATGAATACTTAGCAACTAGACAACATATGAGTACTTAGAAACCAGAGAGCATATGACTACTTAGCAACCAGAGAGTATATGAACACTTAGCAACCAGAGAGCATATGAATATTTAGCAACCAGAGAGCATATGAATATTTAGCAACCAGAGAGCATATGACTACTTAGCAACTAGACAACATATGACTACTTAGCAACCAGAGAGTATATGAACACTTAGCAACCAGAGAGCATATGAATATTTAGCAACCAGAGAGCATATGAATATTTAGCAACCAGAGAGCATATGAATATTTAGCAACCAGAGAGCATATGAACACTTAGCAACCAGAGAGCATATGAACACTTAGCAACCAGAGAGCATATGACTATTTAGCAACCAGAGAGCATATGAACACTTAGCAACCAGAGAGCATATGACTACTTAGCAACCAGAGAGCATATGAATACTTAGCAACCAGAGAGCATATGAATATTTAGCAACCAGAGAGCATATGAATATTTAGCAACCAGAGAGCATATGAATATTTAGCAACCAGAGAGCATATAAATACTTAGCAACCAGAGAGCATATGAATATTTAGCAACTAGACAACATATGAGTACTTAGCAACCAGAGAGCATATGACTACTTAGCAACCAGAGAGTATATGAATACTT